GCAATAACTTTTCTCCTGATTGATATTAATTAAAATTTTCTTTAAGGATTCATCAAATAAAATGTTTTCGTTTGTCACAGTAACGATAAACCAAGTCACCTTTGCATTAATAAAGAAATTTGCCATTTTCCTAATAAAGGGATTTTTGACATTTGAACCACTAACACAAAAGTTCGAAAAAAAGACTGAAATAACAGTTTTCTCTAAAATTTTATTGGGTAACTTAAACAATTAATAATCCGTATTTCTACCGCGAACACTAACAACACAAGAACATCGGTTTGGCATACTCAAAATGAGTTCATCCAAATCACGCTGTGGAATGGCCGCCCATGTTCGTTGCAACAACAAAAAAAGGTCTTCTTGCGACTGGATACCCTCCATATTCGGCAGAGCTCTTCTCTGTAGCATATCCCATGCATGCTCAATCGGGTTCAAGTCTGGCGACTGAGCAGGCCAGGGCAGGACATTGATGTTAGCTGCGGCGAGAGTCTGTCTTACAACTCTTGCGGTGTGCGGTCGTGCATTATCATGCATTAACTGAAATAAGGGACCGATTTGCACTTGTAGAGGAACGATGACGTCTGATACAATCGTCTCAGCATAAATTTGAGCGTTGAGGTTGCCTCTGATCCAAATCAACTCAGTTCTTCCGCCGATCCAAATACCCGCCCATACCATGATGGTTCCACCACTATAAGGATGGACTTCCTGGCAGGATTTTAATCGCTGTTGGCGTCCAGGGGTTCTCCAGTGTCGTATACGTCTTGTATCCGGTCTCATACCAAAACGAGACTCATCAGAAAAGCACACGAAACGCCATTGTTCTTCTGCCCAATTTCTGTGTTCAAGAGCCCATTGATATCGAATCCTACGAGTGTGCATTGCTATAGGTGGTACCCGTAGCGGTCTTCGGGAATGAAGGTTCACTTCATGCAAGCGGTTTCTGACTGTTTGGTCGCTAATTAAGTTCCCTGAAGAGTGATGAAGCCTCACGGCTAACATCATGGCGGTTATTGTTGGAGCTCTTCGAGTTAAGATTTGAATGTATCGGTCTTGTCTCCGTGTGGTGCAGCGATACCGTCCTCCATGGCGCTCAGCCACGGTACCAGTGCTTCGGTATCGTGTCCAAAGTCGACTGATAACACTCTGACTTGTATTCAGAGCTAAAGCCACAGTACGTTGCCGGGAACCAGCTTCTATCATTCCCACGGCTCTGAGCATTTCTTCCCTGCTTAAATGACGTCGCCGCTCCATAATAACGTTGGTTTTAATCAGTAGTAGGGAAACAGTAGCACTAATAATGTCTTCAATGCGTTGTATGTTTTTATAGGGAAAATATTGACAGCTGATTTTCATCTTTTACTCGAATTTGATTCACAGTTCCTGATTCAAATTATGAAATGCACCAAAAAGGATCCATATAAATTTATAAAATCATAAATTTATTACAAAGCCACATCTCAATCTCAAGAAATCCGCATAAAAATGCTTGATCCCTAGACACTTTTGATGTGTGTATATAGATAGATAAACTATCCTACTATATGAGGGGATCAAATACTATATTTCTAAAAATATGTAGTGGGCGAAACTACTATATTTTGCTTAAAACAGACTTTTGCTGGTAAAAGCTTTCATAAAATAAAAATTGAAGTAAAGAGCATAAAAAATATACACATCTCAGAAAAAAAGTAAATATTTTAACCACAAACTATATTTTTGTCCATTATTTTGTCTATTTGATAGAAAAAAAGGTTAAAAAGGTTATAACTCTAGTCTTGGCACACCCAGAAGCAAAGTTAAGTGCACTTAGTAGCACTCAATAATGTACGATATTGGAATACATTCGGTAACTATCTTACAATATTATCCATAATATTATTGTGAGAGTATTATTTGGAAATTTAATATTGTTTCTTGTTTGTAAACACAATAAATCACAATTGCGTATAGAACAGGGGTGATGACGGGGTACAGTAAATGAAATTCTATTAAGTCCGTCAGTTAGATGATTAAAAAATAATGGACACGTATTTTTTCTTTGGGCAATCAACCAAAAAATGACAAAGTTATAGCGCGTCTAAATTTGGGAGTAGGGGCTCGTGACGTCGCTTTTGGAGTGAAAATTGTACTTGTTTAATTGTAAAACGTGACTTTATGCGAATTTTCAAATCAATATATCTTTTTGCAATATTTATATTATGTGAAAAAAGAAAAAATACGTGTCCAATACTTTTTTGATAATCTACCTGATAAACGAAGAAAAAAAATTGGTCATCATCTCTATTGACGTTGTAACAATAGGAATGAATAAACATAAAAGTTTAACAGTGATTTTACTTTAATAGCACTCATCATATTATTCATGAACTTAAATGAAATTTTGACTATGGCGCTCGAGATAATAACCTCACCAAACCCTATCTGATTTCAAAGGTGCTGCTGCAGTCGACATTAGTATGCAGTTGGCCATTATCGCTTTGTATTTACAAGTATGTATGAAAAAGTTCCGAACGGCGTTGCAGCTACAAATGTAGCTAAGTTTTATAGAAATTCACATATACCAAAACATTATCTGTATCCTACCTTTCTATTATAGCAAATTGATGAACATTTAGAGCACAAAACTGATTTATTAAAAAATAAAATAAAAGTGTATGAACATATTTTAAGACTATTTTTTTTTCTTCGTTTATCAGGTAGATTACCAAAAAGTATTGGACACGTATATTTTCTTTTTTCACATAATATAAACATTGCAGGGATATATTGATTTGAAAAGTCGCGTGACGTCACGTTTGAGTACACTTATAAGTGAAAATTCACTCAAAGGTGACGTCACGAGCCCCTACTCCCAAACTTTGACGCGCTATAACTTTGTCATTTTTTGGTTGATTGCCCAAAGAAAAAATACGTGTCCAATATTTTTTGATCATCTAACTGACGGACTAAATAGAATTTCGTTACTGTACCCCGTCATCACCCCTATTACACGATATTGGAATAAATCTTGATTGCTAATTCATAAATCCATAAAATTTAATTCTGTGAACGAAATATTGAATGCGGTAAGGTTCTTCAGTACCGTTAACGTGAAAAATTGCAGAAAAGTTGTCGAGGAAGCGAAGCGGTTCGACCACGGTTCAGCTGGCACGATCCCATTTAAGATAATCTTGGCAATGGCTCGACACACTACTAAAAATGTATCCCTGAAATCTTTGACAATCCACTCGTCCTTGGGTAAGTTCATTCGCTTTTATAAAAAATATGGGTGCGTGTACTTAAGTACGCGCGTGAGAAGTTATACTTCTTTTTGAAATTATTAAAAAATAGTTTTTAATTGCATGCAGATAATTAATTACAATAAGATAATAAAAGGATTGAAAAAGGATAGTCAACGCAGTCAATAAAGTTCAGTTTTAATTTGAAAAATTTAATAAATAATCAAAATATTCAATTTAAATCACTACTGAATAAAATTTATTAGCACATATAAATTTCGCATTTGTATAACATTATAACACGTGTTAAGAATATAGAAACTAGAAACATGTGGATAAATATTATAAATATGAAAACAGTGATCAGAGGCGACGAGCGTCCCAACATGTGCGACTAAGAGATCCTATTACTATTTTGTTGGAAGCTTTTTTTCGAGACTTACGAGTAATGTGCGGTTTAGCGGCCGACTTCATGGTGTTACTTTTCTGTTACAGTGTTGCGCGCGCATCTTAAAATTTCACTCTCATCATTTTTTCATAACGCGCCCGCGGCTAACTTCATTATGTTACTTTTGCGTTACAGTGATGCGCGCGCATCTTAAAATTTCACTCTCATAATTTTTTCATAACGCGGCTAAAGAAGTATAACTTCAAAAAAAAAAAACAAATTTTGCAAGCACCGCACCATTTATTGACGACCTCCGTGGTCGAGTGGTTTGTGTACGCCGGGTTTCATGGTGTCGCCGACTCAAGAGATCCCGGATTCGAATCCCGATGGGGGCAGATGTTTGTGTGATGAATACGAGCATTTGTACTCCAGTCATGGATGTTTAATATGTATTTCTATATTAATATACTTATATATGTACTGTAAATGTATTCTATCCGTTACCCTAGTATTCCATAACACAAGCCTTACAGTGCTTACTTTGGGGCTAGGCTAATTGGTGTCAGTGTTGGAAATATTTATATTTCTCATCGATATAATGAAAAATTATGTGAAACAAGTCAATTATAAAATTCACATATGGAGAAGTATGCTTGTAAGAAACTGCATTAATTTAAGGATTAAAATATTTTAAAATATTGCTAAATTGCGTTTAATTAAAGTAACAAGATATATTAACCTTTATGAAGATCAATTTTAATCATGTTTACCCATTATTCTTTTAACTAATTGTATGCTGCGTTCACCTGTTACAATAATGTCGAATCAAATCAAAACATGTAACGTTCTATTTAAAGAACTGGAATATTTACAAAAGAAATGAATAAGTGGCTGTATGGCGCATTTTGTCGTCTTTGCCTTTTCCGTTTAATGAACGGAGAGAATAGACCAAAAAAAAAGAGAAATGAATAAGATAAATAAACCAAGTGGATTTTGTTCAAGTAATTTTAGTCTTTAGATAAATCGGATGTTTGGAATAGATATGATGACATTTTTTTTTTCTTCGTTTATCAGGTAGATTATCAAAAAGTATTGGACACGTATTTTTTTCTTTTTTCCATTAATATAAACATTGCAGAGATATATTGATTTGAAAAGTCGCATGACGTCACGTTTGAGTACACTTATAAGTGAAAATTCACTCAAAGGTGACGTCACGAGCCCCTACTCCCAAACTTTGACGCGCTATAAATTCGTCATTTTTTAGTTGATTGCCCAAAGAAAAAATACGTGTCCATTATTTTTTGATCATCTAGCTGACGGACTAAATAGAATTTCGTTTACCTTACCCCGTCATCACCCCTATTGAAATTCATAGAAAAACTTACAATCAGATGTATTGACGCAGGGGCAGGTCTGCGGGAGGACGTCAAAAAAGCGGAAGTAGAGTCGAAACGGAAGAGCGTCTTGAAGATGTTCTGCGAAGGAAGTGACAAACATACTTAAAGAGAAATTAAATTATTGCTTAAATAAAATCACCATAATATAGTATACTAGCAAACCAGTGAACCAAATGTTCACCAAAAAAAAAATGTATTTCTTTAATTGAGAACTTCGGAGATTTTGTGTGGTTTCGTTTGAAATAGAAATCACGTAATTTCTCGAAAACCGGAAGTGCTACGTTACTCACATCTTATCAGACTATTCTTAATTTATAACTTAAACATTCTCTATATCTATCTCTTACGGTTTGACCGCTGAAACAGCACCACGGACGGACAGACGGACTTGTCTAATAGATAAGAGATTTGTTAAGACACATCCTTAAAAATTTAAATTTAAAAACACAGATACCTGCAGATTAGCGAGACATCGTGGTAGATTGATATTGCCCAATATGCGTATTCAATATTACATTAAAAACTGCTATCCGAATTGTATAAAAATCTATAATAAGTTACCACGCTTCATAACGGAGCTTAGTTTGCCTATATTTAAAAGGAAGCTTAAAATGTGGCTAATAACGAAATGTTTTTACTCAGTTAGAGAATATTTAGAAACGAAAATTGACTTAGAATAGAATAAGTAAAATGACATTAGTACCTTTAAAATTTCAGAATAGGGATGATGACTATTTTTTTTTCTTCGTTTATCAGGTAGATTATCAAAAAGTATTGGACACGTATTTTTTCTTTTTTTCACATAATATAAACATTGCAGAGATATATTGATTTGAAAAGTCGCATGACGTCACGTTTGAGTACACTTATAAGTGAAAATTCACTCAAAAGTGACGTCACGAGCCCCTACTCCCAAACTTTGACGCGCTATAACTTTGTCATTTTTAGGTTGATTGCCCAAAGAAAAAATACGTGTCCATTATTTTTTGATCATCTAACTGACGAACTAAACCGAATTTCGTTTACTGTACCCCGTCATCACCCCTATAAAATTAAGTTTGACATTCACATGCCCTGTCGTTGGCAAAATGGACGAACTAAATGAAAATCACCACCAAAATGTCTGTTTTGTGTGAATAAATAAATTTCATTTCATTTCAATAATGCCTATAAACATTCGATGGCGCAGGTGGTTAAGCCACTTTCGCAATGGTCAGTCATTTGATGGGTAACCAAAAACTTAGTATCCTGGGCTCCTCCGTGCTTCGGAAGATACGTTTGCCACGACGACAAGCGGTGGCGCAGGGGAACTGTACTAGAATATGATAGTTCGGACCGATAGGAGGGACAGAGACGATAGGCTGTCTCTTTCTAGCAGGAAGCCGTTGATCCCTGCTGCATCTGTAGTCGTTAGTGCCTACCAATCCACATGGGCCCGCCTGGTGAATCTCCCTATTCCATCCATAGGGAAGGCCTGTGCTCCAGCTATGGGGACATTAAATAAATAAATATTTCCAACACTCACACCAATTAGCCTAGCCCCAAAGTAAGCACTGTAAGGCTTGAGTTATGGGATACTAGGGTAACGGATAGAATACATATACTGTACATATATAAGTACATTAATATAGAAATACATATTAAACATCCATGACTGGAGTACAAATGCTCGTGTTCATCACACAAACATCTGCCCCCACCGGGATTCGAACCCGGGACCTCTAGAGTCGGCGACACCATGAAACCCGGCGTACAAACCACTCGGCCATGGAGGTCGTCAATTAAAGTCATTAATAGGCTGATGATGACGATGAATAATGCTTATTAATGTTTTGGAGTTCGATGGCGCAGACGTTAGCATGTTTAATCAGCGATCATGAAAGCCAAGAAATTTTCGCTAGCGTCAGTTTTTTTATATCCAGCTTGTCCGTGCTTCGGAAGGCACGTTAGTCTCGCCTGCATCTGCAATCGTTAGAATTCACCAGTTGGCACTATGCCAGCGTGGTGATTCATATCCGATTCTGCTTATTCAATCCTTAGAATAAGCTTGTGCCCCAGCAGTGGGGACATTAATAGGCTAGGTTTAATTGTAGGAGCGAAAGAAATGACACCAAAATGCGCCGACTTCTTACATTATGAATCATTTCTTTGCTGCACTATCCGCAAATGGAATGCTTTGCCCCTCAACCTGGGGTCCGAAAAGAGTTTGAGAGAGGTGAGGATGGCTGGTCTCGCAGGTAAAATTGATGCACCAACTATACACTTGTGCCATTGACTTCCCTGCGCTCTGACCCTATGCCCTGTCCTGTGGATTCTTGGAAGCTTTTTTACCGACAGAAGTTAAAAAAATCAACATAAGGCGTGGCAGTTCGAGAAAACATCAGCAGCCCTACCGCTCTTAAAACACTAACAAAATTCTCCGTTCCATAAATAAAAATCTGATTAAAGAACACGTTGTAGGTAAATAACATGACGATGGTATAGCAATCACTAATATCAACAATTTGTTATACAATCCAAAACAATAGGAATAACTCGTTTTTATATACATTAACCTGAACCCGAAATCGGAAAGGGTCTTTCAAAAGGGCACCGCCACCGGGATACCTGTGTCGTTAAATTTGATATCACAAGGGTTTATTGAATACTTAACTCAAAATTGGACGTAGTAAATCGAAAAGGATCCAATCCACAATATTGCCGAAAGTTTCAGTTTGTAAAGGTATACCGAAACTGTCTCTGTAGTGCAAATTTTAGTATTATCATGACGAACATCATCCGTTACTAAAATACTATTTATTTCCTTTTGAATAAAGGCACACTGAAGTGATTCAGTCAATAAGATTCTATGAATAATTCGAACATAAATATTCTATACTCCATGGGGTAGGAGATTGTGTTTGGCCACATACTCTAGTATCACAAGCCTATAGGCAATGGCGGCTGCTAACTATAAGACGGAGTTTCAGCTTGTTCTCCATTCATTTTACTTCATTAAAAACAGAATAAAGCTAACATAAAATCAAGTAGTTACATGCTTTAAAAATAATAAAAATTATAACTACAATTGCTATTTCTTCTTTCAAATGTTCAATACTTGTAAAAGTATTCATTTGACATTGTGGGTTGCCTATAATGCGAAGAGATGGCGCTGCCTTGCAGCTTAAGAATGGCTAGAAGAATTTCGACGCGGTCCGCGAGGGCCGCGGTAGCATAATTGGTCAGTGCATTCGCCCGGATTGCGAAGGGTGCGGGTACAAGTCCCGTATGCTGCCTGGTCAGCGTGGAATTTTTTCTAGTTAAATTTTCTGTAGATTAAAAAGCTAACAGTTTAAAACCCCTGATAACAATTCATGAAACAGGTAGGCACGTTAACTCATCGAATGTTCACACGACACGATTTGATATATCAGGGATCCAATTAACTGCAACGTGTCGAGCCGTGTCTGCACAGCGTTTCGTCAATCATTAATACCGATTGACGGTATAGCCTCGCTTGGTGCGAACACGGCAAAATGTCACACGAGCCATCCAACGGAAATGAAAAATGAGAATTTTAATTTCGTATTTTTTTTTTTTATAGATAGGTCCGACAAATGACTTCACCCCACCTGATGTTAAGTGAAGGTGAAGTCCAGACGCGAAGATAGCTGATACAGCAGTTCAACCTACCACACCAGCCATCCTCACCCTGCCGGCCTGCATGTTGCTTCTTTACGCCTCTTTTAAAGGATCTCAGGTTGTAAGAGGGAACACGTGAGCGGGCAGTGCATTCCATTCACGGATAGTGCGACAAAGAAATGAGTCACCAAATTTCTTTGTACGCGTTGGAATTGTGGCCACAGTTAGACGGTGACAACGTAGGCCAGCGCGCGTGGTCCTCTGAAGGAAAGAGGAAGGTGGGATAAGAAAGAATAACTCCTCAGAACACTCGCCGTGGTACAGACGATAAAACGCGCTTAGTGACGCCACGTCACGGCGTAATTGAAGAGGTTTAGTCACCTCCTCATCGCCTATGATGCGGATCGCGCGCCGCTGTAACCTATCCAAAGCATCGAGTAAGTACTTGGCGGAGCCATCCCAGAGGTGCGAGCAATATTCCACGCAGGACCGAACTTGCGTTTTGTACAACAAGCACAGTTGATCGGGCGTGAAAAAACGCCGCACCTTGTTCAGGACTCCGAGTTCAACCTCGATATGGAACCTCGGAGTTCTGTGGCGCAAGTGGTTAGCGCGTTCGGCTGCGATCGTTGGAGTTAAACAACTTTCGCAATGGTCGGTCATTGGATGGGTGACCAAAACTTTTCTATTTCGAGCTCCTCCGTGCTTCGGAAGGCTCGTTAATCCGTTGGTCCCGGCTGCATCTGCAGTCCTTAGCACCCAAAAATGCACGCACTGGGCCCGCATGGTGGGTCATGGCCCAATCCCCCTATTCCATCCATAGGAAAGGCCTGTGTCCAAACAGTGGGGACATTAATAGGCTGATGATGATGATGGTTCAACAATTGATATTTTCGTGTGCAGTTGATGAAATCAATCTTAGGTAATAATGGTTAGAGCAGTTACAAAATCCTAATTAATATTATAAATGTGACAGTTGGCAAGTCTGTATTTTTGTAACTCAATCACTTTGGTACGCAATTATTTTAAGACCTGGAGCTCTATTTTTGAATCGCTCGTCTGACATAGTGTCGTCGAATGCGATATCTTCAACTTTCAAGTCACCTTCAACTTTCAAGTCGCTTATTACCGATTTTCCGTATTTTTGAATCATTCGTCACCAGTGTTACCTGTTTATTACGAAATATTAATTTTTTACTTAAAAAATAAATACCGGTAATTACCGCAATGAAAACCGAATAAAAAATTCTCGTTGTCGCATGACAATGATAGATTACCGTCGTCTAATAGCACAAAAAAATTTACAATTATTCTATCATTCGCCTCCACCGTTCGCCATGCAGCGAGTGATCTCACCCATTCAGTGATTCGCACTCGAGCGATTCAAAAATACGGAATTAATTATGTCGAATGAAATTTAGTAGAAATCGAGCGTTCGACGCAAGACGAGTGATTCA